TTATTATAAATAGTTTAAAATTTTTACAAACACTTTTCTTATGAAATAAATATAAATAATGAATTATAAATGGCCATAATGAAGTGGATTGCCTACGATTAGTTACTTAGCTGAAAGATTTATTTTACATAATTAATCATTCGTGCAAGTGAAGACAAAAAAGGAAAGGGGAAAAAAAATTGTAATTTTATCAATAGTGCACAAACGAGATAATTTATTAACAATGCGATACGCTTACTTTACTATGTAGCAATAATTATGAAAAATGCTAAATCATCCATATACATGGAAGAAAAATATCTTTTTAATCTCTCGGTTAACTTAGATAGTTTTTTTTTCTTCCTGTAAACGAGGGAAAAGGTAAAATATGCGTTAATTTCTGTTACGTTTTTCAATGTTACCAATGCATTTAGACATTTTGCCAAATTTCATACCGTAATGTCTCAATTATGCGTATACATGTTCGTTTACAATACAACTTTCGTCACGAAAATATAAATGAAAATATTTAGTAATAAAAATTATCATAAAAGTAAGGATCATCATAGAACGTTGAACGTAAGCATTCGACATTATGTGGCGTCTTCGTCCAACTTCATTCTCTAATTAGAATAAAATTAACTTTTACTAAGCATCTCTGTACAATTTTTTTTTTTTTTTTTTTTTTTTTCAATGCCAATAGTAATAAGAGCTAAATAAGGATTGTAATTTCTTAATTTCTAGTCCCGTAATTTCTCAGTAATTTTTTTACGAGAGTATTTTCTCTTGTTGTACTATTAATTCATCTATGTATAAAATTATTTAAATAGTGACATTTTAGAATTAGAATGTTTTCTAAGACTTTTTACGCAATTGCTCTTTTAATATATCACGATAAAATATAAAAGAAATAATATCACTAGCAATAGTTTTCGGCATATATTTCATGATATATATGTACATTGGTCATGTCGTCTTATTTCCAATCATTTAGCAACTCTCGTTCCTCACAAGCTTACTACCTGGAATAGTAGTGGGTGCAGGCATAAAATTAATATCACATTAATAATGATTATGTAAAGATGCTCGATGCTGTTTAAAACGATAAACGTTAGGAAATAGAACGTACGATCAGATACTGGAAAACCCGTGTAAAAAAAAAATAAAATAAAATAAAATAAAATAAAAAGGAAAAGGCACTTTTCATGCTAATATTTTATCAATTATCTATAAAGAATATTATATACATAATATCGAATAAATAAATTAAATAATTAAGTATAAAAATCAATATTACAAGTGGACGCATATATTATAAATAAAGCATTTACAAATCATTTATCAATATTATTCTAGAAAAAAAAGAAAAAAAGAAAAAAAAATAGAAAAAAAAAACATTTTGACTCGATGGTAGAGATTTAATTTCTAATAAAGTCGACCTAAATATCTAGTAAAAACATCAGATTAATCCGGGCAGAACCGAAGGAGTCTTATGTGTACTCAATTATCGATAGGATAACTATTCTTAAAACATCGTATTAGAATATCAAATAATATTATTCGCTATTAATGTATTTAAGAAGATTAGAAGGAGATTCAAACGATTTTATTATGCGACAATCATGACTTAACCTATGCTATTTAGGCTACAAGGTATTCTGAGTAATTAAAAGAATAATGAAATGAAAGATAAAAGTTTTATAATTTATCTACTAAAATTTACAAGTATTGATGCTCGGTAATTTGAATTTAATTGACGTGAAACGACAACATAATTTGCTTCTAATGAATAAAAGATATTATTGTTTGTATTGAGTGAATAGTAGGAAATAAAAAATTATCATTGTATCATATTAAATTTAAATTTAATATTTAAACTAAAAACTTTAGCCTGTAGTTTTAATGTAAAATATGATTATCGAATTAACTTGTATCCGCATTATTGTTGTTGCTATTATATACTTCAATGTAATATTATAACAATGAGAAAAATCGATCACAGCAAGCAAAAAAAAAATATTTCATCGAGACTAGCCATTCTCCATCAATTGTTACTCGCCCTACAAACGATTATACCAACTACAAATACTGTCGCTCGTTCATTTTAATATTCCATTTCTTTTCAATACTTTAATCTCGGCATTGTTAAATAATTAAACGTATATGATTGAAACAGGGACACAGACTAAAAGTTGACAAAGAAACCCCTACTGCCGTCTTTATTTCTATACGCAATGCAACCAGACACTTAGCCGGTGATTATCAATGTCTCGTGGAAACAGGAGCAGCAAAGCCAATAATTAAGCATCTGAAATTAAGAGTTAAACGTAAGTAATTTTTATAATAATCATTGTCATTGATGAAGATAAAAGGAGACAGGGTGAAGAAAAAAATTAATCGCATCGCATCGAATATTTAACATTATTCTGCATACCTCCGTTCAATGAATTACGACGTTGAATAAATCAATAAATAAATTATCGATAATTAATTACATAACATTAATAGACAATATCTGTAATTATACATTTACAACGACCTGCAATATAATGTTCGGAAAAATCTTAATCTTAACTAAACGGAGCATGAAATTTGATATTGTCCAGCAAGAACGAGAGCCGCCGTTAAGTTGACAATAATAATTCCCTCATATCGTAGACATACCGGATATCGAGTACGAAAAGGTACAAAGTGGCGGCGAGCGGATGCGGGAGGTCGACAGCTACTACACGGGTCTCGGCACCGAGACCAACATCACCTGCGTAGTCCACTCCCATCCGCCGATGACGAAGCTCCATTGGCTGAAGGACGGCCATAAGATCAACCACGATAGCCGCGTGAGCAAAAGCTCGTCGCACAAAAGCCAGCACGTCCTCACGATCAAGGACACGACCAAGAGCGACCTTGGCGTCTACCAGTGCAGGGCTTGGAACGCCCTTGGTAACGCGACCGGCCCACCGATAAACCTCCGCGACACGCCCGATCAGCCGGTCTTCCAATCCGGCCAGGTTATCGACGACTCGATCCAATTCCAGTGGCGCGTCATCAGCTACAAGCCCATCGTCCAAGCAGAGGTGAGGCCGCCCAGCAGAAAAATCCTTCGTCATGGTTCTTCGTGTGCGTGCGCCTGTGCGTGCACGTTCCCCCATCTCCGACAATCAGAGACACATGCTCGCGCACCACCATGTATACGGCGTCGATTAGAACCGGTCTCCTCCCGAAAACCTCGCTAAACATTATTTCGAATAACTTGCCAAAGGTCCGCGACCGCTGCTCGAGCGAGCCCGCTGATAACTAACAATACCTACGACGAGGTCTCGTACTTTCTTTCTCTCGCCACTTCAAAAAAAACGCCACAGTCCCGTGTTTGTACAAACTCTTGGCGCAGTTTGTTTCCACAGCTTTTGCCGAGAGCTTCGTTGGGACCGCGCGACCTCCCCCCCCCCATCCCCCTCCTCCTCCTCCCTCCCTCCCACTTTTAAATATACAGACGTGAACACTAGCGTCGATGTTTACCTCCTTACGACAATGTTATAAATAAATCGCACCTTCGAGCCTTGCGTCCAAGGTCATTATAAAAAGCCTGGCCTCTCGTCCTTGCAGATTATGTACCGCAAGAAGGGCGAGCAGAATTGGCAGGAGGGACTGGACGAGAAAGTGGTGAGCAGCGTCGGCAAGTTGCACGTCGTCCAGGGCAGGATCAGCGGCATCCCGGCCGGCACGTACGAGGTGAAGCTGCGAACGCGCAACGACGAGGAGCACGCGGACGGCGATAAGCTTAGCAAGTGGGGCCCGTTCTCGGATCCCGAGAAGTTCGACGGAGGTGAGTTCGCGACAGCTCGGAAAAGCCGAATTACCCGGCCCATACGCATATCGGAAAGGGAAAACTTAAGCTTAGAGGATTATTGGAGACAATTATTATAAACAATATTATTTTTAAATTAATTTGCAATTAATTATATATATACACTTAGGATAGCCGGATCTTAACTTAACCGACTAGTATTTATTCTTTTTTTTTTCTTTTCTTTTTCTTTCCTTTTTTTGTTAATACATAATTAGATAGAAAAAGCATAAAATATAGAGAACACCAACAACGAACAAAACAATAGAAAAATTTTAATAAAACGATAAAGATAAAAGTTGCGCATTGTAAGTTAAATTGCCGTTACTAGTTGCAATAATAACTTTGATAAATTTCATCGGGAAAATCATAAAATTATAATAACGTTAATATTATTGCCGAGCGCAATGTAATTATGTAATTATTTGTTCTATGATCTAATTTATAGTGTAACGGTAATTTAGATAACGGTAGTTGCAACGATTGAAAAGGAAAAAAGAAAGAAAGAAAGAAATGGTAAAGAGTTATCGTAAGAAAATACAAATGTACATGTAATTAAAAGTTCTTTGTTTTTCATATTGTTTTAACAGAGTACAAGGACGCCGAAGTGAAAAGTGGTGAGTTGATAAAATATAAAATTTTAATGCATTGATTAATAGAGCATTTTCACGAAAAGTTTCATAATACTATAGTCTATGGAAATTTATTATGATACTAAGCAATGATATGCTTAATTTATGTACCTTAATTTGTATTGTTGTTATTTTTCAGTGACAGGATCGGCAATGAAACCGACCATTAGCTTCATGACGCTGCTTTTTATGATTTCACAATTGGCCTACTCGTATTCTTAAATCGTCAAATACTTTGACTCGATATAGGTAACTTTAAAAAACCTCTAGGAAAATGAATTTTCACGTTGCGAACAATTAAGATTTAAAAGTCATCGAGTGTCAAGTGTATTTTTATTTTTATCTTTTTTTTTTTTTAATTTTTTTTTTCTTTTTTTTTTTTTATTTTTTTTTTATTTTATTACAATCACTTATCGTTTAACAATAACAACGCGTGCACAGACACTACGTTAAAAGACATTTTATAAACTTGAAACTTTATTACTGGCTTATTACCGTTAGGGTATTGAATAAATTAATAAGACGTTCATCAGTTTCAATGCTGCTAGTTAGACGTGCGCGCGTGCGTGCGTAATTAATTATTTAATACAACTACAACTACTGAATTTCTTTCAGGTACATAATTTGCAGCCAAAGCGTTCACCAGTAGACCTCGAGATACACCATACATTGCGTTATAATAAAGAAAATAAACGGACACGTACGTACGATAGCTAGGAGAAGAGCGCCTCTTCCTTCCCTCGCTTAATCTCTCACTTTCTTCGGGCCCTCTTATTTTCTCGCGCTCTCTCCTCCTCCTCATCCTCATCCTCATCCTCATTCTCATCCTCATTCTCATCCTCATCCTCATCCTCATCCTACCCCTTCCTCCCATCACTTTCTCATCTCTAATTCACTCGCTTCCATTCGTTCTCCGGCTTTTTCGTTTTACCCTCCTCTTTCATGAATCTTCTTTATTGCTCAACGTTCGCTGTGGACGTGCAATGTTGGATGTCGCACGGTGCAGCTGTTCGCGCGTATCTATTAAAAAAGCTCACCGAAAACACTCTCCAGGACGAAGCGAACACGAAGAAGGAATAGACACTGCTCGTGGAATAAATAACGAGTCTCGCTTTATATACGGATTCCTAATCAATGGAGGTGACGTAAGATAACTGGGAAGAGTATCTCGCGATACTTACTTCATAGTATTTGACGAGAGAGCAAAGCGAGACGTATGAAATCCGATAAACCACGCAACATTTTATTTTACTTATAAATTGAATTGAATAGACAAAGAAATTTCCGCTGTTATTACATTATCAATGGAAATAGATCGTGGTAGGACGATTTCTCCTTTACTTTCAAAAGAAGAAAAGACAATTGTATGCAATTTCTAGATAAATGTACAATGTAACTGATAATAATTTAATTTTCAAGTATCGTCAGTTTTATAGATTTTATGAAAGAGAAGAATTTTCTTTTAATGTAAAACTTCGTGACCGATAAGGCCCATCAATTTCCGAATATCTACGTTTCTTCAATTGTTCTTGTTGATAATTAAGATTTGAAAAAACATTATCTATATTCGCATATGAACTAGATACCAATATAATAATTTACTCTAAATACGTAAATGTGTATGTACGTACGTATATCTTAACCTATTCTACATATAAAGATGTTTTGTGAAATAAGCGAACACTTCTCTATGCGCCAACTATTCTATTAATAAATATAAAATTATAATATATGTTAAATATAATATATCTTATGGTGTTTTTGAAGCGTTTGCAAAAATATTTTATTATTCGCTAGCACAGCAAACAATTTACACAAAAATGATTGCTATCATTATTTTACAATTTACCTTGTCAAATGGAAATCAACTCTTTCGTTAAGTTTTATAGAACCATTTTTTACCACACAATACAAGAGAGAGAGAGAGAGAGAGAGAGAGAGAGAAAGTATAGCAACTATTACGATATAAAAGTTCTATTATATCAAATTTAATTTATTTGCAAATTAAATTACAATTAAATTTTAAAATGTCGCTTTTTTTTTTTTTTTTTTTTTTTTTTTGATATATCATGCAAAAAGAAAATATTTTAGCCAGTTGATTTGTTGCCACGAGTGTCCTAGGTGTGCCATTTTTACGTTAATGATTCATTAATTGGATGTTATTAAAAAATTGAGAGAAAGAATGAAAGAGGAGGAAGAGTACTTTAAAGAAAGGAAGGAAGAAAAAAGAGTACTTTACTTTATTAAATTACGAATATAAGATATATAAAAGATATTCTACATACATATATATATATATATATATATATATATATATATATATTTTATATAATTTATATATAAAAATAAAAAACACACGCGCGCACATACACAAAACACAACACAACCCAACACAAAACAACACAACATCGCTCTACGGCAAAGTATTCACAATGTACATGAATAAGTCAAATACAGATATATAAACAATTGATGCTATAATTTATTTTTGTATGCTTGACTTATCGAAGCTTGAATCAAATCTGTGTTCGATGTTGTAAAGGCGAGTTTTCACACAGAATGATTTAATAAATAAACTTTCATTTTGTCATTTTTTTTTTTTTTTTTTAACATGCCTTACGTAACTTATTTCGAAAAGTTAAGAACTTTTCGCCTACAGTGTAAACATTATTTTATGATTATTATTAATATTATTAATATTATTATTATTATTATTATTTAATCAGAGTTATTATAAAAATTCTTTGCACTTAAGTTATATGATAAATAAATTTGAGCAAGTTTTTTTCTCTGAATTCCTTTCTAAATTCGACGTTCTATGTAGATAGAAATATTTTTGCAGCTACATAGATATATGCCTCAGAATATTAAAAAAAAAAAAAAAAAAAAAAACATGGCATTCGATTATTGTTATTTAAATGATGAAAGTAAGTGCCGTTAGGTACAGCATCATAAGATTCAAAATTAAAAAAAAAAAGAAAGAAGTGTTAAGCTTGTCAGTTGTGACGATTAAGTGTAATGACTAATTGTTTCATTATAACTATATTATAATACGATTTAATTAAAATTAGGCAAATAGAATATTATATACGTTACCTAAGATATACATACCTATTTGTAATTGTAATTGCGCGAATGTGCCTGGGACGAGTGAATGTTACAATAATGTGAATAAGTGAGAGGAGCTCGTTTATAATTAAGTGCAGCATGCGTTTTATTATTATTGTATTAATAAAAGCTAGAATTTATTTTGAAAACTGTCCTGTTAAAAATATTTTTGTATAAAATTGAAATTAGTAAAAACAAGAAGAAAAATACTTTTTTTTTTTTTTTCTAATAGACTTAGTATGACTTATTTGTCTAATCGTTGTATAAAATAAAAAAAAAAAAAAAAAAAAAAAAAAAAAAAACGAACAAACAAACAAACAACAAACTGTAATAGTACGGATTTATTGTCATAAGTAAGCCTTATTATTGTACACCGTTTAATTTATAATCAAATAATAATAAATGTATATAACTAGGAAATATTTAAAAAAAAAAAAAAAAAAAAAGGAAAAGTAAAATATATATACTGTCATAACAATTATAACGATTATTTCATTATATTGGATTTTTTTTTTTTTTTTTGAAGTATGGAAGCAACAAGATGTTTATATACAAAAATATTTTTAATAGGAAAGCTGGTGTAATAGATAAGTGGTGAAACATTTTATTATCGTTATGCTGAAGGCCAGAACATCACGAATTATTGGTATAAACATTAATTCCTCGGGTTCATTGTGGTCTTTCGAATCAAGTGCAAAAACGCTTAACATTATAAGGCATAAAAAACAAACAACAAAGCAAAGTTACTTGTGGACATTCGAACAAATAGCGATATTCTTTCTTGTAAAATATGGAAAAAAATTAAGATTGAGCGTGAAAAGAAATTTTGTGGAAAAAATTATGTTGTTTAATGGCATATTTGGGACATATTTGCTTTCCATATCATTTTCCTTGTATTTTTTCTACAAAATTTTTATTTCTTCTTTTTTTGTTCCTTTTTTTGTAAAATTACGAAAAAACAATTTTCTTTGCAATGAAACATAACATGAATAATAGTAAATTTTACAGCATATTTTACTTGTGATGTGGTCTGAAGAAATTATTTTTATTGCGTATTAACGAGTACAATAATAGGGTTTTTCTTTTTGTCCCTCGATGGTGCATGAGGATAGTAGTCAATATTCTCTCCTTTCCTAGATTTTTACTTGCTGACTCTATCGTAATGTCGAACCAATTTGTATAATCTTGTAAAATACGCTTATACATATGTTTTTCATTCGCTATAAAAAAAAACTTCTGTGAAACGTTACGAACCATTGCCACGAATAGTTGTTTTAAAAGCGCTTCTACCAATGCAATTTTATTTTATAAATCAGCAATTTCTTGTCTCAATGAATGAACGAGTAAACACAATGTCAAATTTATTGAATAATCAAAGGAATCTTTACGGAAACTGCATGGCAGTTCACAATTAAATATAATGTACCTTATTGTTGCCTTAATGTTTGTAACTTGTACAATCACAGAATAATGTAAAATATATATTATGGACATAAAATCTGTTGAATGTTTCATTAAATACAATACGATTATCCTATATTTACAAATCATTATGTCGATGTAATATCTATCCTACTTTGTATATAAAAAGAGCTTACAATTAAAAACAATAATTGTTATATTTTTTAAATGATTGAGACAGCTTCAGCAATGCTTTGTTTGTAATAATTATTATAAATATTATCAATTATCTTATATATTCATAATTTTAAATACAAGAAGATCAATAATATTCAATTTTTATTTTGCACTTATATTATTCCAATATTGGATGAGATTATCTTAATTTCATTGTGGTTTTGATATTATATTAACATTATCAACGCTCGATGGTGTAAATACGTTCACTAAATTAATAGATTTTATTTTCTGATTGGCTTTATTGTTTACAGTGATTTTCTGATGAGATTTATCTTCCTGATTTTGGAAAAATTTATAAGAAAATATTGTCCAAAAATTTTGTACCATGTTGTTCAATAAACCTGAAAGAAGACAATTAGATATACAAGTTTATGAACAAAACATTAAACATATTAATATATATATATATATATATATATATACACGTTAAGGATTGTTTAAATAGTTTATAGAATTGGATTTTTAATAATTGGATAATATGATTTGTCTAGACTACATTTATATCAAGTAACTGTCTACATTTTCACAATTGAAATAAACATTATATATTTCATTATTTCATCAGTGTGTGCAATTTTAGAAATATATATGAGTTTATTATATATGAGAATAAAAAAAAAAAAAAAAAAAAAAAAAAAAAAAAAATTTTAAGGCAGAATATGTATATAGAAAGAAGATAATCATTTTCAAAATAAATATTTTATACGCAATTTTACTTGATTATTTCTCATAAAGTTAAACATCGAATTTCATTATGTTACATACATATATATACAATTAATATTTTTTTCTTGGATAATATCCTAAAGTATTAAGTTACAAATAAATAATGCACACACTAACTAACGCACACTCAACACACAGATATATATATATGTATATATGTTGTTCTTTTCAATGCAAATTGTGAATTGTGAATGTGAGTTGCGAATCTAATAATGAATTAATTAAAATGAAATAACGTGTATTAAATCTTACCGTTCGTTACAAAAATGCAACCAATAGATGCACACAATTTGACTAAAAATTGGCAAATAGAGTCGCGCTCTTGTATCACCTTAATTTTCAATGCACTGGTGTCATAATTAAAAAATATTCCACTTATTGCATGCGAACCTTTCCGTAATTTAGCTTTCACTTCGTGATCCTGGACACTGTACTGATATGTTTTTGACTTGTACATTAACATATTTATATCAGTAGATACAACTTCGATGAAATATTGAAAGAGCACTGCATCTGGACGAAAGAAGCGCAAGTTGAGGAGAAATCTGATGCTTTGATGATAATAGGAGGTGTTAGTGTATCAATTTACTTTCAGTTGTGACTTTCTCCTCACCCTCCAGTGGATGAATAATTCCTGGACTAGGTTTACCAAATGAGAAGCGATTGATCCTATGCGTGAAGTTATATTCTCGCTCGGGCATGAATGCTGAAATATGAACATGTCCTCGGGGGAGCGTTAATGACTTGCCACAGGTCACATGAAAGTTTCCGGCAACCTTATTTATGTTTAAAGTTCCGTAAATTCGACATGCGTTTGGTGGGTAGGAGGGTGTGTAAGTTCTGAAATGAAATGTCACATTGTAAATAAGTAAATTGAGCGCATATAGGTAAGTGTAAAATAATCATTTTACAAGCATATTTTTAATATCTTTCTCATAATTATTGTATGTATGTATGTATTTATTTATTTATTTATTTATTTATTTATTTATTTATTTGTGTTATCAGAAACAGTCTCAGCTATATATTATGAATGTTCGCTATTGATTTCTAAAATAAAAAATTCAAAATTTAAATTGATTTAATACTCTGACAAATGTATAAACAAATTTAGTGCTCTACCTCTTTGGCATTACGTTAGAAAATGTTAGTTGGTTGGATTTCCATAACAATTCGTGAATGGCATGATATTCTTCTCTGAAATAAGAATTCATGTGCTTCAGAGCTTCAAAATGAGCACGCTGATCGGGCGTTAAGTCCCACCACGTGTCCTCTTCGCGCAGAGTGTCCAATGTCATTAAATTTTGATTTGTAGAATCTACAACGTCGGCACCAATTTGCGAGCACGGCATTGCTACCGTTACATCAATGTTCATCTGTAATCGACTGTTATACTCTGTATCCGGTTCGAATTTAAATTCTAATCTACTGTCTAGAAAGTAAGATGTTTCGGCATAAATGAGATATATTATTATACAAAAGCTTGCCAGCGAAACTGAAAAAAAAATGAATTATTTTATCAATATTTCACTCCTAAAGCTCATTAAAAGTATTAAGTTAAGGAGAGTAATAATGAAAAAATCTATAGGTAGCAGCATATAAATATATTGATTTTCATTTGCAATTGCTATCAACAACAATATATATTGTATTATTATAAATTTAGATGAAATCTTGGATATGATCGATTTCATAAACGATAAAACATTTCTCAAGACGTTATAACATTTGACAATAATAATAATTGCTTACATGCTCCACCGACAGCCGATTGTTTCCTATAGTCTTCTGGTATTTTAGGAAATGCATCGAGCTCTTTTACAACCTTAATATTAATATTCCTTTTACGTAGCATCATTGGACAACGTTAAAATTTATTTATAGCTGTAAAAATTGTAAAGGTATTACAAAGCTGCGAGCATGCTTGATACAATGCGCATTCGTACGAATACTGTTCTGTCTTAATATAAATGATAAGCATTTATAGTAAATATATACAAAATATCATCAAGAGAGCACTGTATCTTATTGTATAAGCTAACGCTCTCGCATTTATAATGCTTAACTATCTTCATGCTCGTTATTGGTATAAGCAAATAGTTCTTGGGGCAAAACGGAAGGTTATGGTAACTCTTATTAAGTAAGCCGACTAATTGCCATTCGATAATCATAAATATGAGAAAAAAAAATCTTCAAAAATAGTAAACAGGTAGCGTGACTCACAGGTGCCGTAATAAATTAATGTAAAAGCAAGGCTTTGTAATAAGTGTTTATAGGGAGTGCACCGTTCACCGGCACAATCCACTCTTTTTCCCCGCAAACGTTAAGGTTGAAACGAATGTTTATTTCGTGCCAGCTCATGACATTTTATTCTACGTGTACGCTTATGCTGGCTTATTCTTATCTCCCTTGACGTCACTTTTAACGATCGCTTTAAACAACATTACTCGCTACGAACTCCAAACGCCTACGCACATACGAATTCCCAAGCAAAACAATTTTTTTCGAGGTTACGTTTGCTCGCTGCTCTCGACGCTTTTAAGCATCCAGAGGAAATTGCATAAGAGCCTTAGCAATTGCAAGCACAACCAATTGGGAACAATCGCTCTAAATCGTCGTTGGGTATAAATTATATGCGGCCCGGATATTCGAATAGATTTGTTTATTTTTATGCGGTTAATTCAATTCGATCTAATGTAATGGCCAATTACGATATCTATGCGCAAATGAACAATGATTGTCTTACTGACATTGAGGCTCTAATGAATCGGACTGATTTAAAATCCAAAGAAGACATTTTATTTACATGCCGTTGTATTTTTATCAATGATAAAAAGATTTTCGCGCTAAAAATATTATTTCACGATGTGTAGTACTGACTATGTCGAAGATTCGCGATATAATGAAAACTAATTTCAATATAACGTCTATTACAACTATACGTGCTATTTTGATGAAATTTATCGACTTAAATTTAGAAACTAGAGGCAGAAATAGGAGGTTGATATTTCATAATTATAAACTATCGTTATTAATTAAAAGTACAAGAACTCCAGCTTTCGGCGTTCACAACTATAAACACGTACGCACATACACGTTTTATTGAGCTCGTTCGTGCCAAGTCGATTAGTCGCACATAACATCGCTTACTTTCCTCAGACTACCAGACGTTCCTACGTCTATACAATCTGTCAAGTTTATTTTCCTGATTATAAGTTGATAAAAAAGAAAATGAGAAAAAAGTGAGAGAGAAAAAGAGAAATTATATTGTCGAGTCAATGCTGAATGAAAGGCCAGAGAGTCAATATAAAAATCAATATTTCACAACAAGTGAATTATTGTACAAAGAATGAAAATTTTGCAAAAGAATCGCACAAGACCTTGAAAATTAGAGATTTTTAATAAACTCTTATCTAAGATAAGAATCAGTTGTGTTTCATTATTAGTTTAAGGTAAGAAGACAAAAATATACGATATACGCAATTTACGCGTACGAAGTATACGGCATTGCTTATGATTTAATATTAAATAAGGGAGAGAGAGAGAGAGAGAGAGAGAGAGAGAGAGAGAGAGAGAGAGAGAGAAGGAAATAGAAATACTACCATCGCTGTAAAAAATTCACGAATCCCAAATAATTTCGATGTCATTTATGTCGAGACAAATCATTCATAATTGATTAAACACGTCCATCGTCAATACATCCTCAAAGTCCCTTAAAAGTCTTCTCAAAAGGCCTATTCTATCGTCCTCTACATAAGTTCCATCATTCTTCTCGCTCTAGCAAAACATAAAAAAAAAAAAAAAAAAAAAAAAAAATGAAAACTAAAAACAAAAACAAGAAACAAAAAACAAAACCTCGATTTTCTCAATTTTCTCCCATCCGAATTTGATTTTACGCTCGCGCGATCATCACATTGTAATTGTAAAAAGCATAGAGGAAAATATTATATAGATCGCGTGGGTAAGCGACGTTGACCGTTTCGACGATTCATCATCGGCTGGCGATTTGCCCGACGGCCAAAATTAGCGGTGCGCTAATAACGCGGCCTTGAGATAATGAATCGCGCGTACTCTATTTATTTTAATGAGAAGAAAAAAAGAATAAAGTATTAGCTTATCCAAGATATTCCGAATCTGCGTCACAGCCTATGGTTTATTTTGGTCCTACCACCGTCGGCTACGATGACTAATATCGCCCACGGAAGAAAATGCCGACCATCTGCATTTGTGTATAGGCTCCATGTGAGTTTCGCTTGGGCCCATTTATTTTTAGAGCGTTATTCCTCGTGTTTTTAACGGGATTCGAGGCATGACGCATGGTTTATTGTCTAAGTGTAGGATAAATATTATTGAATAAATGTACGTCAAGTGCTTAAGTAACATGATATAAATATTTATTGAAATAAAGGGTCGGTGGTGGTGTGTTGGACAATGACAGAATCGTTTGTTTGGCAGGTGGGCCGTAGCAGCCACGAGGTAAAAATCCTCATTGGGTTTTGTTGCTGTAACGAGGGTCGGCTTTAGCATGAACTTCTGGGTAACTTGTAAGAGTTTTTTTTTTTTTTCAAATAAGCGCAAAGCTCGAGATCGTCTTTGTCGAGAGCAGCACCCTCCGTCCGACGTTCGCCACTCCTAGACGACGGCAGGGCCCGGGCTGTGCTGTATGGGTATGATCTTCTCGCCGGGAGCGGCGATGGCGAGGGCGGGCGCGGTGACGGTGAGAACGCCGTCGGAGGAGAGGCTGGACTCGACGTTGCCGATGTCGTGGCCCTCGGGCAGCAGGTATCGCCTGATGAATTGCCTCGATACGAAGCCGTGCTCGTCCTTCTTCTCCTCGTGCTTCGCCTCGACGACTATGCAATTGTCCACGGTCTTCACCGTTATCTCCTCCGGCTTGAACTGCTGCACGTCGATTATCACCTGGAACTTGTCCTTGTCGTGCTGGACCTTGGAGACGCCATTCGACTGCTCGAGGAGATTGCGCCAGGGCCGGTAGTAGCCCCGGAAGGAGGGTGTCGAGAGCGTGCGCACGAGCTCGTCCCGCGAAAGACCCACGCCAAAGTGCTGGTCGAGGAGGCGGCTCGGGCGCTCGAAGTCGTCCCACCAATCGCGAAAGAAGGTCGGTATCAAGGCCATCGCTCGATTATACTTGGGCCAAATCCAGGAGGCTTCCTGCGAAAAGATCTAACTACTGATTCCCGTGGATTATTCGTTGGTGCCGGCTAAGGCGTAAGCCGGCGGAAGGATAACCTCGTCAATTTTCGATTATCTATTCATTTTTAAATTAGTTCAATGCTGCGTTTAATGATAATTAGTACATATTAAGAACTAAGATGAATCGTTTTAATGCGACAATTGTACAATTTCTACAATTTCATAACGATCATTTTAAGTGATAACGTTGCAGCAGTAATATTATAAGGCTTATGGCAAATGCACATATAAGGCGTTATTGACAAAATGGTCCAACTACTCGGCGGCTTATTGATTATCAATACAACTAACTTGGTAAATACAGCCAAATACTTGAATAATCGAAAAATATAAATAAACACTGTGATCCGATGATAATATGTTAATTGGTTTTATTAATTAATTTAATAAATACCGCTGAAGCGACTATTCAAGATATATTAATCTCCAAGTAAACTAATGGGTCTATTAGAATTATAGTAAAATAAATTTTTACAATCATTCTCGCATACCCGATATCTTTAAATGCTTAATATCGATCTAGTATATAGCGTTCCATCAGTTTTCTATTATTATATTATTTAAAAAAGAAGAAAAAAAGAAGATCTTATTCTCTCTCTCTCTCTCTCTCTCTCTAATCATATGATAAAAATCCAATAGCAAAATGTTGTCAAATATTGTGTAACAATTTTGAAGAGAGAGAGATAGATAGATAGATAGATAGATAGATAGATAGAGAGAGAGAGAGAGAGAGAGAGAGAGAATAAGATAGAAACGAGGCAGAAACGTGAAAAATGACAGGACTTGATAGAACAAAGCGCCCGATATAATTGTAGCAGCGATTCGATTGCTCTAGATCTCGAAATTCTATATTGACGAGCAAAACGAATCACCGACCTCGTCAAGCGTGCAAATTACTCGAAGAACATGATGAAAAAGGCGCGCGCTGCTTTCCCGTAATTAAAGCGCGACGAGCTTAACGAGCTTGCAGTGCTGATTGGCGTTTCTTACTCTTTATCAAGGAGCTGAGGATCCGCGTGCGGTACCGTGCTCGGCTTTGACACTGACTGTCCGGGACGACCTGCCGGTCAGCTATATACTCTCGGCCGGGCCCCACCACCTCCGAGACAAGTTTCCGCGTTCCGACGCAAATCGTTTCCGAGCCTCCCGATTTATCCCGGCGCGTCACTGTCGATCGCCGATACAAAGCCAATCGAGATTCGTGGCCCTCGCCATTCATGCTGAGCTGGACCGCGACAACCGATTGGAGTCCCTTGAACGCCATTGAACACGATATTGGTCGTCGTTATTAACAAAATTAAAGCTATTTCTCGATAATTAGAGCGAAGATCGTCGTCGTTGTTGTGCTCGTTGAACGAGTCGATGAGTGTGCGAATGATTTCAGATCGAAATTTCTTAGTTCGCCGAATTGACATGCGACGAAAGATAAAAAAAAAAAAACAGGTTTACCAAGCTTAATTTCTAATGGAAATGGATAAAAGTGTTTTTTTCACAAGCCAATAGCACGGAATTTGTTGGGCAGAAATGTCGGCCACTAGCATTTTCATTAATTATCATGAATATAATGATAATGGGCAATTCGAATATTATTGAAATGGTACCTGTTACGTTAATTAAAAAATATTAGATAACGCATAATGAAAATTAGATTTTTAATTACTTTTGTTTATTTTATGGTAGATTGCTAGCGGATTTTTATTGTAAGCCATTAAATGTGTAATTGTGAGTGTAAAAGCACATCGATAATATTATAAAAGAGAAATTTTCTAGCAATGGTGTAAGATTTGAGAAATTATACTGTTGTAACAAAAAAAAAGAAAAAAAAGAAAAAAAAAAATTTTTAATGCCCGAAAACGTGAAATGTCATCGATATTCGAAAAAAGAAAAGCATTTATTAATTGAAATGGGAATGTGCAATTAATAGCTTTGCACACTTTATTCTATTTTTATTGTATACGAGCAATCTCCAAGCAATAGTAATTTGTTTACAAAAACATTCGGATTTATTTTAATATAGCGTGATTTATAAATAGTCTAATGATTTATATGAATATTTAAATACACTTTTCGAGGAGTATAGCTTATAGTTGGGGAATAGTCTCCGATAAATTAAATATAAATTAATATTCACGCTCGAATGCATTGTCTTCTCCTAAGTAATGAAAATAATGTTTCATCTCAACGAGCCCAAGAGCCATTATAGCGTTCGCCTATAAGCCTCGGTTTCGGCAAAAATAACATATCGATGAAACGTTCTAGGGCAACACGAGCATACATTATTCGCCAACATTCGCTAAAATTAAAGCGTTATATGAAAAAAAAAAAAGATGGCGTCTGGAGTATATTGTGTCGGTGAATCAGCGCCGCTCGATTTGGAAAAGAGTCACTGGACCAAGTTGTCGGGTAAAGCGTCATCACGGCGGAAAATTATCAAAAGAGTGCGACACAAAGAAAATTCAATGTCGTGGAAGCGTTTGTTCGGAACGGCCGTGCAAACGTTTATCCACTCACTCTCTCTCTCTCTCTCTCTCTCACCATTAGGGTATACAATTTACGCTATTTTTACATTTATAAAGCTCTATTGCAAGGGTCATGATAAATATACAGCATAGGCTTACATGAAAATTTATATGCACTTTAAGTTTATTTTTCTCGTAATAATCGGGAAACTTTTCATTTCTGTAATAGTTCCGAAGGTTTTACGAGTCCTATCGATCATTTAAAAATAAATTTGAGATACGCCGGACAAAGGTGCAGAATAAAGAACGTACTTTTAATATTATGTAGAATAATTTAAAATTTTGATTTTAAAAGATGGAGAGAGGGTGAGAGAGAGGGAGGGTGAGAGAGAGAGAGAGAGAGAGAGAGAAAGAGAATCATAGATCCTCAAAATATATCCTTAATATATGCCGTTGATGCACCATACAACATGTGGGTCAAATGAAAAATGCACTATAAATAAATAATAAATATATATGATATGCCTAACAGCCAATAAATCAGATTTATATTATCAATTGACATAAAAGTATTATAATGGCAAGATATTTGCTTCGTTAATTTGAATATTCATATTTGAAAAGCCCAATTTTCATATATTCTTATACGAATAAGAGACAATATTAAAATAAAAGTAATAGAATTATAAAAGAGTCGCTGAAAAGTGATTAAAGTAAATTTTTTTTTCTATTGGTTTTGATTTTAAAGAGCGATGTTCTTCAAAATTTAGTTCAGACAATCTGCTTTATAAAAATTTCGAGTAATTTACAACTCTATTATTTCTGTAACTAATATTTGTATAACGTTTCGTCTATCAGTTTCAATCTACATAAATAATTTCATTAAATAAAACATTTCCTTGCAAATGCCCATATCCATACATTTTAAATGTTCACTAATTCGTATTATTAATCACTTAAATAACCGGCCACTATCTCTTTATATAAAATCAAAACATAAATACAATATATTATATATAATCACGTGCTAATGTTAGTGCTAATGATAATAGATAAAAGCTCTTTCATTATACATACTAATATTATTGCCGCGCGCTGAAAAGCACATGTTAATTATGTTTTGTTAATTATTACATTTAAATTGATTATAAGAACATTGGCCACAGCTGGCCCTGTGGCGACACCTAACGAATACCTCGCGAACTCCATAATACCCAATAATAATGACCTCGGTCGGTCATAGCGATGAACGTGCCGGTGAACAATGATATAAGAAAATTTTTATAAAAATTTAAGGATTAAAAGGCAAGCCTTGGTCTCCAAAAAAGATTAATTATAATTAAAAGAGCGTGTTGAGAAAATGGAAAGAACAGAAAGTATACAATCACATTATATATGAACAAAAAATTAACAAAAATGATAATCCCTGACTTTATTCGAAAATAATATAAATTTAATAATTTCATAGTATTTACTGAAATTATAATAATTTATTATTACTTAAAAATGAATAGAGCGTACAAGTCAATTTACAACTTAAACATTGTGTGTATATATATATATATATATATATATATATATATATTTATTTTTTTTTTAACTACCTACTTATTCTTATACAGACGACGTCAATATTTTTCTGTATAGAAAATAAAAAAATATACTCTTTCTTAAACTTACTTTTTCAAAACCATTTATTTGCACGTTTCATTTACATTCACGCTTTCCAAACTACCAAAAACTTTAGATTTATTGAATAAACAACAATTCACTTATGTATATTAATACAGTAAACAACAATTTACATAATACCATGTGACGTTTGATTTATTTAAATAAATAAACCTGCTATTTTACTATATAATTATATTTTATTTTACAATTATAAAAACTTGCGTCTCTGATCTGAGAGAAGAACGAATTTTTCTATACATTTTATATCGGAATATATAACTGCGTAGATGTTATATCACTGGACAATTTAACATAAAGTAATTAGTATCGTTATTAGCAACCACTAAGCACTGAAAAGCACGAAGAAAATTGTTTTATATTAAAGCGTTATCGAGGCAATAATTGGTATTATTTGAATTTATTATTTGATATATTATTATTTGATATATTATTATTTGACATTATTATTGGTATTATAATATTATTATTTGAATAATATAATATTTGTAATTAACAGTCGTTGATCTGTATTGAATGAAAAATATATAAAGGACAATCTTTAATACTGATAATTTATCATTATCATTCGTACATTTTCATTGTAACTTAAATTTGTCTTTCGAATTCTCGGTTTTACTTGATATGCTGAATATTGCTAAGAAAACTTTATTAACGTATATTATAATATCGTCGATTAATAATTGACGTAATAATAACATGTAATATTATCGCAATTATGTGCGGTTATATGATAAATGTTAAATGTTTCAAATGTGAAATATAAAGGACTCGTATCGAATCATTTTTTATACTGGCATAAAGGCCGCGGGGGGGTTTTTTTTTTTTTTTTTTTTTTTTTTTTTTATTACTTTTGATTTGAACATTTTTTATTCGGTAATGATAAATTTTATAAAATTTAAATAAACCTACAATGACTAGAAGCATATTTTATTTTTATAAAATATTTAATGTACAAGTATATAATTAAAATGGTAAATTAATAAATTAATAAAATATTTAAAAACATGTGATTAATTCATGCATTTTTCATTATTAACGAATTATATCGAAAATGGTTGGATGCTTTGTAAAAAAAATTGGACAGAAACTTTCATATATTACGTTTATCTTTTTTGAAAATAATTTTCTTCTTTTAAACTAATGAAACAATTATCTGAAATGCATTTAATTGTATCTTAAAAGTTTTAACTAAATTAAATTTTGACCTAATTTTATTCTTTAGCGGATGTCTACTGGGAACAATAAAGCATAATCTATGAACAAAAATTATGTAACCTTAGATAAAGTACTCGTTCGAATTGTACGTTATTATTGTCATTCGCTTAGTATTAAAATAAAATAATAAATTAAATTGAAATTTATCTCTTCGGAACTCCTTTGCGATTGTTGTAATTATTATTATGTACATGCATATACATTTAATAAGTTTTATACGATATCAATAATAGTATTTCACAAAAAGAAAAAGGAAGAAAGAAAAAATGATAATGCAATTAATTCATAAAAAAAGCCTTGCGCTATTAAATCAGAAAAATTCCCCACGGCGTATACGTAGGCTATTAAGCTTACGTAAATGAAAGGATATCCAAGTGCATTATATCACATGGAAATTCGATTGGATATCTGGGGACTCACCCATTATCCATCCTCTCCTCTTAATCCAATATTTCTCTCTCTCTCTCTCTCTCTCTCTCTCTCTCTCTCTCTCTCTGTGTCTTTCGTTATTGTTATTCGTGTTTTGGAGGATCGAAGCAGCTGTATATCTATATAATACGAGCAATCCATTGGGCGAAGGATCAAGAAACGATGCCAAGGTCGAAAGAATCGGTCGACTGGCATAAGGAGTCGCATCGTCACACTCTGGAGAATGTAATTTTCCTTACGAAGTTTTATCTTCCTATTTAATTCATGTTCATATTTAACCTTAA